ACTCTGGCCTTTTTGAAAATTCACTATGGCGAATCTAGAATTATGACTAGAACGAACTGCCGTCAAAAAATTTTTGGAACAAACTTTAATTACTGAAGCACAGAAGAGCTAGAAAATTTTTCTATTTCCATAAATTAAGGTTTTGGGGGTCGCTAAATACAAATCCGCAATCAAAATTATAAAATTCACACCAATATGTCGATCAAACTTCAAATAATGCAAATTCCATTATTTCCACATTTTCTATATTATATTGGCTCAACAGCCTTAAACTTTAAGTAAAGATCGATAATTTGTAATCAAAAACCCAATAAACCAATGTATACACATTGATTGACCAAAAAAATCTTCCAACTTGAACGTTGTAAAATGCACTGGTCATATTCCACCCACCATGTTGCATTTGATATCCCGAATCCTGCTTTAATAACTGAAAATTCCATAATTGGTGACCCAAAAAACTCCGATTTAGTGAGTCTTGTACAAAAAAATTTGCGTTATTTGAAAATTGGCTAATTAAGTTTGGCTGATATATTGGATTCGCCATTGTTTTATAATTATGACTGCGGATTCGTATTCAACGAGCCTCAAAACCTTAATTTATGGAAATAGAAAAATTTTTTAGCCTCCTGTGCTTCAGTAATTAGTTTGTTCCAAAAATTTTTTGACGACAGTCCATTCTAGTCACGATTCTAGATTCGCCATATTGCATTTTCAAAAAGGTCAGAATGCTAATGAAAGTAAACATGTGTACCAATTTGTGCCCAAGAAGAAATTTTTTAGTTGAGCTGAATTTTGCTTTAACTATTCACATTTCAAGCAATAAAAAATATTTATAATTGATTCTAAATATTTAAGATTGTCTTAAACACAGTCTTAAAATGTCGCAAACTAATTATAACAGAGCCGTATTAGTATCTTAAGACATTACTTGTAAATATTAGCCAAGGACTAGGAACAAGTGAATGGAGGAGCATGCGCCGGCTCTGAGCGCCGCACGGACAAAAGCGATTATTCGTTAACTTTAACCTCTCCTGCCAAAATTACTTGTCAGATCAAAATTTGCTAAAGGAAAAAGTTGTTCCTTTTATCACAAAGTATCACGTCCTGTACTCCTAATCCGCGAATTTTGGGACACCTTGTACATAGAAAGAGAGAGGGGTGGAGGGGGAGAGAAAGGGAGGAAGAGAGGGAGAGAGAAAAGGGGGGAAATTTTGCTACAGCACCAAAAATACTGCTGCGATTACACATTCTAGACGATTAATTTTCATTATTATAGTAAGTTGTTGCAACAAAATCTATTTTATTGATAAAATAAAAAATTTTTGCTGAATATCTTTTTAGTGCATATACAACTTGAGCAAAATAGTCTATCACGATTAAATGTAGTTTGCTTACAGCAAAGTCGTTATTGCTGCAGTAGTGGCTTGCAATCGTGTAAAATGCGCTTTGTTAGCAATAAGTTGTTCCTTCCTTTCGGTAACGAGTGACTTGTTTACCTGTATGCCCGATATTGCGATATCCCCGGATCCGTCATTGAGATTAGGCTCGCATTTGATGATTCTCGAAGCATCCTCGCAACTTGATTCTCGCGAGGAGTCTTTCGATCTGGATTCCAGTGGGTCATTGTTGCGCGTCACGCGGCCCACTGACACTCTCTTCTGCCCTTTGAATCTGGTTTCCCGCTTATACATCGGAGGAGGTATACGCTTCTGAAAATTATTATAACAAATATTGAGACCATTATCTTCCTAAATAATCGAAGGGTTTGCTGCAATAATGGCTTACGCAACGTAGTTGAGTATGTAATATTGACAGAAATGGATATATTTTTCACATCTCTTTAACTCTAGAATTTATTTTTACAAAATGTGGGTTAGGCGTTATCCCATTGTTACAGCAAGCCCTGCAATTGAACGTGAATTTTCGTGCCGGAGAACCACGATTAAGATCGAGCGACACGAACGATGTTTAGATAAAACCTCCCAAAATAAGCTAAATCACATATCCACTGAGCGTACAATTTGCGTTTCCGTGGATCGCGGAAGTTCGTCGAAGCTGTCCTCGTGTCCGTCGATCACCATCGGATCATCCTCCACCTCGATATCCTCTACTTTAATATGATCCTCCATCGAATCGACGCTCGAGTGCTTTGGCAGAAAAGGAATCACCGACGGCTCTTTGATGTATTCGGTGGTGTGCACTCTAGTTTCGATATGGCATCGCTGCATTCGCGTTTCAACCCTGGTATAGAGGTTGCGGTTGCTCTCCTGGTTTTTCTGCTCCCCGGAGAGACCGCGTATCTCTAAATCGGTGGCTGTTTTTATTAGCGACGGAAGGTGCTCTTCCGCTACGTCGATGGATCCTCTGTACATGAAGTCCAAGAGGCATTCCATTTCCTCAACAGCGACACCTAATAAGCGATAAAAATGTATGTCAGATAAGATTTTTAAATCCTTCGCGCGAAAGTGTTACAAATTTTCTCCGAAATGATAGAGACGGGGGCAAAATCTTCCCTCTCGATTTTTTATTGTTTATTTTCGCGTGATGTACTCATATATCGCTACCGCTGCCTTCTGAATGCTTCAGAAGGGGTAACAAACAAGCTCTCAAAAAGAGATCATGTTATTTTTTTTTTTTTACTTAAAATGAGGGTTTGCCTTGATATTTCTTTACGTTATGCAGTTCCGATAACCATGACCTTGACATATGTTATATTATAGAGATGAGAGTACTGATCAACTTTTTCTTATCAATTAATCGGCGGTATCGTATAGTTTTTGAGATATCTAACTTACTTAAATTTTATTTTTTTTATTACACCTTGTATATGATGTATGATGTATATACATATAATACATTGAGCGAATGTGACGGGAATGACACGAAACAATGTCTCGCTATTGAGTGCAAAGAACATTTTCTAAGCTATTTAATGAATTTATGTTTAAAAGAAAGTTTGATGAGCGTATTAATGTTTTTTTTACATTATTGCTAAGTATGTCTATGTAACTATTATCAGATAAAAAATTATACTATATATATTATACTATATATGTATTATAAAATAAGTTAATATTTATTTATTAATATTACTTTTTTCACATAACTTTTCACGCGAAGTGAGGCACCCCGCACCTTCCTGTGCCTACAAGACGTAACAAAGTCTATAATTGTACTTATTTACGTGGGTTTTTGACTTTCCACGTGAGGCGAGATTTACACCCTCCTCTCCGTGTTTATGGAACGTAACGAAGTATATAAGTTGTATTGATTTACATAGGTTCATATACAAGATGTCATAAAATAATGAAATTTAGAAAACGAGTTTTAAGTATATCTCAAGAACTATACGAAACCGCCGATTAATTTATGCGGAAAATTTGATGAGTACACTCACCTCTACAATATATGTCAAGGTCATCAGAGCTGCACCCCTAATGTAAAGATTTACCCTTGCCTTTTTATGTTCGCTCAAGCAAGCTCCCAGTGGATTATGAAAACCACAAAAAAGATTTCGCCGCTATCTTAAACAGTTACATAAAAAAACAGCTTGCAACATTTCTCTCTCTCTCTCTCTCTCTCTCTCTTTCTCTTTCTCAGACGAGAAATATTCCGTGTAAAAAATTAAAAAGAAGCTTGTGAAAACTCCCCTTCTTTAGTTCGTTTTTAAACGTTATGAATGTTTCATCGAAACATCATTGATGTATACCTTTTAAAATGAGAATGGGTTGCTCTCCATAATGTTCCTTAAAGACCCTTTCGAAATAAGGACTGCATGCTGCTAGCACCAATCTATGAGCTCTCAACATGCCACCCTGACAAGCTAAAGTCGCATCTGTCAAGGAGCCACTTTTATAAAGAGCCTCGAACAAACCCGACAGGTTCGCCAGATGATTGTTCCACGTCAGGTTGAACGTCTTCTCGCCCATATTTATATCGAATATTATTGGTCTGAAATACGAAAATTGTATTTTCAATTTCACTTTGTATTTTATTGTATTTTTACAATGTTTCGAAATTGATCGGCGTCATGATAGAACGAAGTACTTAATTTGAACGCAAGAGAGTATGTTTTTTTACGTATGTTTTTTTATATGCAAATACATATGCAATTATGCTTTCCTTTCTTCTTTAATCAAGTACATTAAATAATTAGTTAAATTTGTAATTAAACTCACGCATATACGTTCCATGTACCGAGAATATTCTAAAAGCTTTCAAAAGCTACACGATCATACATATGTTCTCAAATGATTTCGCAAATTATCAACCATTAATTATATCCTGTTATATTTTGTAATTTTTTATAATACCAATATATACATTTATAACACCAATATAAATAAATGAGTACCAAAATTTAAATAGATAAAAATCAAATAAGAGCAATAATGAGTTTATAAACCAAATTAGGCTTTAATACTAAAGATTGTTAACAATTTAAACCTAATGTATAATGTCTGATTCTCAATTTAACACAATAAAAACGACTGAGACAAGCAAATAAGAGTTAATAACATAGAATTTGATGAAAATTTAAGAATTTAAGAATTTAAACCTTGTTACATATCCTTAGTAAAATTGCTTTGTACGTTTCAGCCTCTTTAGGCTTTTATCAGCGATAAATGTTACCCTTATTTCAAAATTTCAATAATTTTTTTCGCTACATCGACATATCTTCTGGACTTCTGCTGTCTGCAATAGGTGAAAAAGATTTCCAATTCCATGACTGCAAGTACTCTATTATTAATGAGATGTTGCAAAAATTACATCACTGAAACTTTGTATACTCCATAATCTCAATGCTCATCTTCACTCGTATTATGACGATTATTCTAAGTGATACACAAAAAAGATTTCGATTTTTATCAAAATATCAGTGTTAAATATGAACAAGAAAAGCAGTTAAAAATTCGTAAATCACAATTAAAATAAAGGATCAATTGTGCATATGAAATTGATGAAGTCGTTGTTAAATTCGTACAAAAACATTGTTTAGTAAATGTCTAGTAAATACTTGTAAACCATGTGTATAAATCATTATAATTAAAGATTGGTTAAATTTTTTTTATAGAGATGCATGAAAGGTACTGACTATGTTATCCTGTTCAGAGTATAATAATCTTAATTGACAATTAAATAAAATGTGAATAAAGTGTAATAAAACTAGTTATTGGAAAACTAGTAATTAATTTTTTTAAAATAAATGATATATTTGTTTATCACTTAGAATATTTGTCATAATTTTTAGCATTAAAATCTAGCTTGGCTCTTAAATCCATCTTAATTTGTTTTTATATTTAGAGCAGTTATCTTCATGTTTATATCGCTCCACGTTATATCTTACATGAGATTATGTATTTTTTATTTATTTTTACATAAATATAATGATATAAATAGAGATGTGAAAATATAAGAACATTAATTGACTCGTCTAGGAAACAGTTATGTATCTACAGTTTATACAATGTGCTCTTTGCTTGCTGTTTTTTGCTTTTTACTCCTTGCCTTTTCCCCTCTTTGCGACCGTTTTATCAAAATTCGTGTTTCTTGTCATGTGTTTCCTGTCTCTTTCGAAGTTCGTCACATGTATCCCAGGCGAAAATGAAGGATCGGAATATAAGAAGCGAAAAGGGAAGAGTGATAAATAGTGGTAAGAAGCAAGAAACAAGATGCTAAGAGCACATTGTAGATCGCGGACGTGCAAGACGCGAAAACATTCACGAAGAATGCGCGAACCGTGGAATTTAGAGAATACGTAGAATTACGCGTCGAAATATATACTCCCTGACTAGTGCATACGGCCGCGGTCGAGAAAGTCTTGATCGACTCATAAGGCTAATATTACATTTGTCTGTTTTTTTTTGTCGTACGACAAGAACGGAACAAATGTAATATTTAGTTCCTAACGCAGGAGATTTTCCGGATTGTAAGCGGACAATTACTATAATCACACACGGCATCGCGCGATCGCGCGCGCGCGTGCACACACGCGAAATACATACTAATATCGCTTTCTGCGATTATATCCGCGCGATCGTTGCATCATAAGTGAAATAATCGTGGGTAGGCGACAGGGAGGCGTAGGGGCGGCGGCGGCGGGGCGGCTCGGCGACGCGCCTTTAATCGGCACTTTCTGCACAATTATTTCAATCCCGGTGGCACGGTGATCGATGTGTCATCGCGCGTTCCATAATCGACTGCGCGCGTCGCAAAACAGTCATAATGCCCGCACGTCGTTAAATACCGCGGTGGTTTAGCCACTCTCCTCCTTCCCTCCCTCTTCCCTTCCTTCACAATTGAAGAGACCGTGTTTTCGTGTGCTCTTTCTCACCTCCTTACCGCGGAGAATATCCTCTCCGCTCTTCACTATTGCTCCCGTCCGTGAAACTGAAATCGATTCAAAGTTAATTGTTTCTCAATTTTTCGTACGAACGCGTTGTCCTTCACCCGCGGGGTCGCTTTTACTTGTCGCGTCACGAATTTAAATGACAGACGAGGAGGATGTCACCGTGTCGAGCGTCGGGCATCGTCGTTGTTAGTAAACTCGCGGGGGTATGTCGTGCGCGCAAAGAAGAGGAGGAGATCTCGAAGGAGAGGTTCTCCAGGAGAGGGCTTGCGCTGGCTCCCCCGCGCGTTACGTGTGCGTGCGCACGTGTTGTGTGCGTGTACATACGTGTACGTACGCACGTGTTGTGTGCGTGACATACGTGTGTGTGTGTGTGTGTGTGTGTGTGTGTGTGTGTGTGTGATGCGCGCGCGCGCGCGGCTAGGCTACAACGAATAGTCATGCGCAGACGTGAACCCTCGCGTTGCCTCGATCCATAATTTTGTTGGTGGACCCCCCCACGCATTTCCAAGGGATTCCTGTTCCCTGTGCCAGCGAATGGACTCAAACGCGCCCTTTTTTTCCCCTATCTTTTCTACCGGTGGGTCACGATGCGAAAACCGGAAGACGTTCGCGAATGCGAAATTAATGCTTGCGGCGTGATTTTCCAGGCAGATCTAATGGTAACTTTAGGAATGTTGGACGGCGACTGAACGATAAAAAGATTTAGGGACAACTAACGTTTGGGACAGTTCGATTTCGTTAATCATCGAGATACGCGCGTTGTTAGGAAAAAAAATGTAAACGGAGAAGAAAACGCTGTGTATAGAACGAGACGAGGAAATCACGTGTAGATGTATCCATATGTACACGGTCGCTCTCGGTACGGATACAGTAACAGTAGTTCCGCGCATCAATCATGCGACGAATTCGCGTCGCGAAACGTCGCTCCGACGCGACGGTGACGACTCGACTCGCGAAGCGTGGCCTTGAACGATACGAGTCGTTTTTCCGTCGAGCTCGCACAAATTTGGATGTAACGCGCGGTAACAGTGGCCAATCTGGGAACGATCGGCCGATTGACCAAGAGGAAATACGGGTCAAGGAGATGGTGGGCAAAAACGAGGGAAAATGCGCTGGCTTTCGTACGTTTCAACGGCTGCAAAGAGCGCGCAGATGAGCGCGTCACTCATGTGCGACTTATGTATACGCGCGGATACGTACGACGAGGAGGAAGAGGTGGAGGAGGATCGAGGAGGCCGAGGGGGCGGACAACGGCAAAAAAAGCGGCGACTCGCACGTGATTCTCAGGAATGCGCGAGTCTCGCTCGTCCAAGCCGCGAAACCATCAACGGCGCGCGCGAAAGACATCGGAGTCGCGTCGCCGCCGCCGGTGCCCCGGTGTGCGCCTACTCTTTCTCTCCTTCTGTCTCTCTCTCCGAGCTCTATTAATATCCGCGCCTCGACGTCGACGTCGCGCCTCCGAAACGCGCGCTCCGGAGGCAGAGGCGGGAGGGGGGCGCAACGGGGGGAACGAGAGAAGCGAAAAGAGAGCGGCTTACCTCTCTTCCACGCTATACGCACGTCCCCGTCTCGTCGCGATTTTCTCTTGATTGCGGAGGAAGAAACGCGCGCAAAGAAACTCCGTTGAATACAACACCCACCCCGTGTACCTTGCGACCTCCGACGTAAAATCCTCCGATTTTACTCAGGGCAGACGATGATCGCGCGGGGACCTCTTTCCCCCTTTCTCAATATATAAGCCCTTTGCGTATTGAAGCTGGTACACGGCTAAGTGATCTGCTAGCCGAGTCTTCGGACGCGCGGCGACGAGCGCGATGTACACTCGCTGGCGGGGCGGTATTCGGTTAATGTATCGCGGGAGAGTGAAACTACTGTTCTGCGAGGGGCACGGCGCGACCGACGGTGTAACGTAACGTGCTGGGGCTCCCTCGACCGAGTCGCGACTGATATCATTTCCAGCGGGGGACTGTAGGGTCGGCGGCCAGAACCCCACCAGGGGGTCTTCGTGCAACCCCCACGCGGCATCGTAATAGTGTACATCGTTGACGTTGCCGCCATTGCCGTCGTTGTCGTCGCCATCGTCGCCGTCGTCATCATCGTCGTCGTCGTTGTCGTCGTCGTCATCGTCGTTGTCGTTGTCGTCGTCGTTGTCGTCGTCATCGTCATCGTCATTGTCATCATCATCGTCATCGTCATCGTCATCATTGCGTTGTAATGCCATTGTCGGTGTTGCCGTCATCGTTGTTGTCGCCATCGTCGTCATCGTTGTCGTCGTCGTCGTTATCGTTATCGTCGTCGTCGTCGTCGTCGTCGTCGTCGTTGTCGTCGTCGTCATCGTCGTGGTGTTGCTGTCCGCTTCTCGAAATCCCTCGCGTACGCAGTACGTGTACGTATTTGCGCACATGCTTGCACGCGTATATGTATAGCGTGCCACGGGGAGAGCGTCATCTCTCTCTCTCTCTCTCACCCTTCGGGTTTTCCCTCTTTTTCTCCCCTTCGACTGAGCCCCGATTTCACGTCGTTCGTCTTTCTCCCTCCGAATTGGATAGTCTCTCGCTCGCGCACGCAGCGACGCTCTTCCCCCCTTATACGGCCCCCTTCGCTTCGCTACGCGTCGCGGGTGCCTTACCAACGCCCGACGCGTCGCGGCGCGGCGTACCCAGCGATTTCATCCACCCCGAATCCTCGCCACGACAAGGGGTTGCCTCTCATCAGGCGAAAAACAACGCTCCTTTCCTTTCTTTTCAGGATCGACTTTTCAAGGCGATCGAGTTTGTACTTTTTTTCCTTTTCGTGCCGTACGCGGTAGAGATGGCACACTGGAGATAATTGTAATCTATATCCTGATACCGAGATAGCTATCGACATTTCCATGTAGTGCATTAAATCATAGGGGTGGCACAAACCGAAGGACACAGGGCGCGTGTGGGGCCTCGGGATACGTAAATACCTCGACACGCAGGTCGCAGGGTGTGTCTCACGTTAAACGTACTTCTATCTTGGTCACAATTCTGAGTCTTTCCTTTTGAGGAATACGTCACGATCGCTATCTAAAACTTTTATATCTTCGTAATTAATAAGGTTCAATTTAAAATTTTCTCTTGTGTCGAATTAAAGTCTTAAAATAAATTTGTTATCAAACGAGGAAAATTGACTTTGTTACTTGTCTCCCCCATTATTTTCAGAGGGGATTCACATCACATTCAGAGATTTTTATTATTAATTTTCTCTTTATTATTAATCGACAAGCTATGAAATGTTTCGCGACCTCGATTTTTACAAAAGAAAAGTCGATTAATCGATTTGAAGCAACCGAGAGATCTATAGTCCTCGCGGTTTTCGAAAGAAATGCGGACTTGGCGCGAACCACACGGGAACCATCCCGTACATTCTATCCGAATCTAAACACGACGCCACTTTAATCTCATTCCGTTAAAACAGACATCTCTCCCTCGAAGTTCGAGCCTGTGAACTCGAACTCGCGTCAGGCACAGCCGAGTATATTCCTGTTTAGCGCCTTCAAATTCCATTTGTATCGCGCGAGCGATAAGATATCCACCGGTCGTGAAGAATTCGCTCGCACGAGGGAAGGGGAAACGGAGGGGGGCGGGAGTGTGTGAGGGAGAGGGAAGGGCGGCCAGCGGGAAGTAAAATTCGCTCGTGGAAACGGCGCAGCGGCGGCTGGAAAACAGCGCGCTCGCACGAAAATTCGAGCCGCGCTGAGAAGACCTTGCAACGCGAAACCGCCTCCGCGCGGCGCGGCGGTGTCGCAATACAGCGATGAGCCCTGACGTAATCCCTCCCGGCGCGTGTACTCACAAGTCACAGCCGTGCCCGCCGCGTACAGACGTATCGACGCGCGGCAGCATCGACAAACGCATTGACGCGTCATTGATGCGGGACCGATATTCCTTCGGCGATTCTTGTCGGAACGGAACTACGGCATATTTATGACGCGTGTCATCAATTTATGATTGCGTCGAACAATCGGCGCGAACTATTGCACGATTCGCGACAGAAAGGAACACATCCCAAGATCCAAGTATAATAAACCAATTGATTTTTCTCGTATTGTGGTCTCTCTCTCTCTCTCTCTCTCTCTCTCTCTTCTTTCTCTCAGTGACCCAGGCGAGTCCGGCGAGTCCGGCGACTGATTTGGGGGCAGCGGGCGAATATCGATTCGTTATTTTTAGGGGCAGTCCATCCGCTAGCGGACCCCACCTACCTCGTTCCCAGGGTTCTCGAACGGTCCTTCTTAATATTACCATCGCGCGTGTCGGGATTTGTTTCGGGAAAGCTAAAACTTTTAAATTAACGGACAATAATGCGATTGCGATCCTCTCTGTATCGTGATCGTATTGTGAGTCGGAATTAAATTTAGAGAATCCGTTGTAATCATGGTTCCTCATTCTTTCTTTTCCTTTTCGCCTGAAATACATACGTATACATACACGATATGTACAAAAATATTTGATTTTTCCATTAATGTACCGGCATCAAACGAAACAAAAAAGTCCATTTATCATGATAAAAAATATCGAAATTGTTATAATCTATAAAGATATCGTCAGGGCGATTAATAACGTTACTTACGTCGGTTTAAATGAAAATGTCTTTACCTGATATCGATAATGTTCATAGTCTTATTTCACATGATATATATACATTTCGCAATTTAAATTACAGCATATTAAATTACACATCAATAAAAAATTAAATTTTACAATGGCGATTTTTGTATGCAAGTAATCATGTAGTTATTAAACATTCGTCATATACATTAAACGTTAGTCATATTAGATGACATTAGATCCCTATTTTCACAAGTATAACGATATTTCGTTATCGAACATTACGTGTCGCCAGCGATGTAACATTGCCCTAACGTTTAGGACAAGAAAAATTGACTGCGTTTTTATTTTTAATTAATCATTACGAGCACAAAGATCTGTACTTAGAGGTGCCACATTTGTATCTAATCTGTATATTTGTACGCGATGATCACGACCATGTGTATAGTCCGTTAAAAAACTTAAGGCTATCTAAAATTTCTATCCTGGCCGGGTCAGGACTGCAAAAGTGGCTCAATAATTCTTCATTGAATCCACAATCGCTCAAATTTTCTTGCCCAAAAATGTTAGGCGGTACTTCTCCTCGCGTGTGATCTTCTCCAATTGCGTGGCCTATAGGAATGTAAGAATTATTTTTGTTATATGATTCATAAAATTTTATCAATTAATATGCCAACGCGTGTATTTGTGTGTCCATACCGTGCCTCGCTGCGGAAAACGAAGTTGTTGGGGCCAACTGCGCGCAGCTTACCGAATACTGCTCCAATTGACTGGATTTCATCAAGTGACAGAGAGAAGGCAACACATGTGGCAAAAGGGGGCCTTTCAATTCGAGAGAATAATACCTGTCGTTATTGTCACGCACTACGCTTTCTCGAACCTCAAAAAAAAAAAACAAAAAAAAACAAACAGTTATGGTATGAGATCAAGATTTCTATAATTGAAACGAACCATCTCACCAAACACAAATTATAACTACAATATTGCAGCAATATTGTAATATTTCTGCAATATAGCTGAAATGTTACAATGTTGCTGCAACATTGTAGTTATAATCTGTTTGTTGGGAATTGTTCTTTCTGTTAAATTGTACAATACCTTGAGCGGTTTTAACGTAGCACCGTGGAAAGCCGTCGGAGCCAGAAGTGTAGGAGAAACACCGGCTAACGTACCGGTCGCCGCGATAGCTGATTTACAATTAAGTAGGAAGTTAAACAACGCCTGCGTCTCCACACCCCTTACGAACACGAGAGACTGCTTCAAGTTATCCACTTCGCTTTCTTTCTCCAAAGTCATTCTCGCCTAAAATGAATATCAGAATGTCAAGATAAATTGGGAATTGCGCAATATTTATACTAACAATAAGATGTACACTATAGATGTATTTTCGTCCGTCATCTTGGTTCCAGCTAAGTGGACAATGTACAACCTCCAAGTTTGCTCCGCAATAAAGTTAGAAATTATTATTACAATTTTTTATTTTATTATTGCAGTTTACTGTAACGCAGTAAAGCATTTTGATTGTAATGTACATTTACTTTGTCAGACGTGATATAAACCACGTATCAGTTGCTTTCCATTTACACCAAAATTCAGATAATTCTCATTTGTAACAACAACTCAGTCATAACTCAGTTGAAAGTACGTTCCTTTTTATTCTAATAAGTGATATTCTGAGTTTTTATTTATAATCTGCACAAGCTCGAAATCATGTGCTTTACTGAGTCTGTTAACTCACATTAAAAGTGAGCTATAAACCTATGCTTTTATGCGCGATAACTTTCCATCAAAGTAAGAACGTATTATCTGAATATAAAATACTCACATAGCTTTAGACTGAGTAGGTATCATTTATGTGAAAATGGTAAGCAACTATTATAAATGGAACCAAGAGATGGCGGTTCAGAATATCAACAGTGCTCTATTTATACATACCTGTGAGTGATTAATTTTTTTAATTTCTGAATTTTCCACTCCAAGGCTTTCGAGCCATGCGTCTTGAGTTTCATCGTCATCATCATCATCTTCTTCTTTTTCATAATTGTCACTCTCTTGCTGACAATCCGCAGTATTAGATACAGTATCTACAGTCTTAGAGTCAGAGTCTGTTATGTCAGATCGTCTTTTAGAATCCTTTCTTAAAGGCATAGAGTATTCTATTTCTGAAATATATATTGAAAAAGACAAGATTAATATTTTAATATTCTAAAATCTGTTTTTTTTTTATGTTATTGTGTTTCATTAAGATTATTTTTTAAAGCACGGTTAATATTTTTCATTACTTATATTATGTCAAACATCTACAGTTTGACTTGTATTGTCATCAAAAACTAATTTTTTAATCAAATTTTATAAAAAATTTCTATTTTATTTAAATTCTATTTTATAAAAAATAGAATTTAAATAATTAAAGTTTTAAATAACTAAAGTAGACAAACGCTTTACCTTCTTGTTTTAATGACTGACGGAATCCACGTGTTGTGGGTGTAACAAGAGCATGAATCTCCGACAGTCCGCAGATGCCAGCGGCACGAAAGAGCACTGTAAATGTGTTTGCACACACATAAAAGTACGGACATTGCCTTGCTCGCAATAAATGAAATAGAGATCTGAAACTATCACCCCATTCTCGGTACAATGCATCTTTCATATTTTGATTGTTTACTATCAATGCATTATTTGCGAGAGATGCGCTCACTTTGCCAGCAGAGCGAGGAAATAACTCTAACCATGGTAAAGAAGGATGTTGCCATATCAAGCAACATTGATGAAATCTAATAAAAATATTTAACGAGCATTATTATTATAGAACTTGAAAAAAATGGTGGAATAGTGATAAAAATTAATAAAACTCACCTTGCGTTTGGACTAGTATCCAAAGTTGTCTCTTTTTCTCCAATGTTTAAACATCTCACAAATCCTGTGGTACCTGATGCCTCTTCGCTCGTTTTGAGTTTGCAGTTCCATGGAAAAGGCTTCGGAGACATAAACCTCATTTTTGTTTTCAATGTCCAATCTATAGGAATATACTTTGCACCCTTTGGAACATTTGCGTCTGAAATCTGATTACTTGATTCCAGTTTTGAAAGGACGTTAATGAAAGTTAAGGAGTCTTTCATAGACGAATCCACCGTTGGCTTCTCCCGTTGAACATCAATATTTAATAATTCGAACAAAGTAGTGTCGTTACTGATTTCTATTCCGGCTTTCGTTATATTCTTTTGTTTCTTATATGTTTCATTGATCGCAAACGGATTCTTGCGCTTTTGGCAGTAAGATATACGGTGCAGTAAATTATTACTAGAGTTAAGGCCATCTAAATTCGTAGTTGTTTGCTGAGTGCTAGTATTAATAGTCGTTTTATTTATACGCGCTTGAAGTGCACGTTTCTTTAATTTCATACGATGCAATTGCATTACTTGATCAGGACGTGTCCACTCCAGTGTATTTGCATTTTCAGATTCTGCCATTGGCGTATGTATAGTTAAATTCGACATGTTGCTGTAAAAAGTTTATATATAAGATAAGATAATTAAAGAAAATTATATAATACATATTTATATTACTATAGTTTTTTAAACATATTTTTTAATAGAGAAGTAATTTTATAGAATGTTGGACATATATGTATTAATTTTAAATTATATACAGAATGGGGGGGGGGGCATCTAAAAAAAACACCGAAGTATGTCAAAAACTAAACCCAGTAAACAAAAATGTTTTAGACAAAAATTGTACGATTTGAAGGAGTAAACATAATGAAAAATAAAATCAATTTTTCAAAAAGTTTTTTAATGTTATATGGAGATTACCTTCATTTTTTAAAATGGAATGATGTAATTCTTGTTAAATACTATGATTCTTCTAATTATTCTGCATATAAAAGTATTAAGGTGAAATTATCGAAAATTCAATATTTTACGAGATATTTTATATTTTATCATATCATATTTCGACATGAAATATGAAATATGTATCATAAATTATAGATTTCTTATAATTGTACCTTAATATTTTTATGCACAGGATGAGATGCATCGATTGGTGTAAAGAAAACACATAGTTGCTTTAAAAAAAAAATGTTACATATTGCATATATTTTTTAAAAGCAACCGTGTGTTTTCTTTATTTCGATCGATTAATCTTATTATTCTGTGCATAAAAGTATTAAGGTACAATTGTCAAGAAATCAATAATAAAATATTTCATGTCGAAATATGGCATGATAAAGTATAAAATATCTCGTAAAGTATTGATTTTCCGATAACTTTACCTTAATTAATACTTTTATATGTAGAATAATTAGAAGAATCATATTATGTAAAAAAATCATATCATTCCATTTAAAAAGTGGAGGTGACCTTCATATGACTTTAAAAAATCGATTTTATTTTTTATTATTTGCCTCTTTCAAATTGTACAATTTTTATCTGAAACATTTTTGCCTACTTATTGGATTTAGTTGTAGTTTTTTACATATTTCAGTGTTTTCTCTTAAATGCCCCACTTTGTGTATATATAGATATAGAATTTATATATAGATATTTATAAATATATGTGAATGTATATACATCTATATGTATAATATATACATATAGATTTATAAAATTATTTTACAAACCAGTTTTTATTATTGCAATAACGTGTCTTACGTAATTTTGTAATTGTTATATATACGTGCACATAAGAATACATGCATAAAAATCCCAATTATATGCATAATTATACTATATCAATGCATGTAACATAATTAGAGATGGAAAATTACCGTCATTTTCAATCTGACAATTACTTGCAGTAAAATTATGGTAAAAATGGTAATTTTTGGTAATTATGATATAAATTTTATTTTTAATAGTTATATATCCAAATAAGCTGTTTTCCGCATTAATAGATAAGATAAATGATATTCTTTTTATATTCTCAAATCAACATATTCTCATATCAACATTGCATATTAAGCTTTTCACACATGAAATACGTATACTTCATTACTTCCTCCATCTTTTAACTTAATATATTAAAATTTTGAAATTTAATTTTTTATTTTATTAATTAGAACTGTAAAACTTTTTCTGCAATATTAGTTGTGCTGATGCATTATTAATTATATATAGTTTTAAAGGCTTGAAAGAAAACCGATTTTTTTTCAATTTTTCCGCGGATTTTTTCGGTTTCTTTCCCAAGGAGTAGAAAAATTCAATGGAAAATTTCACATACATATTTGTAAAACCTATTACATTTTACATTTGCAATACTTTGTAATACTTTGATACACTTTTCAAAATTTAAAAATTTTATAACAAGCATATAT